TACTTCTGGGAGGCCCAGCAGGGAATCCCAAAATACTTAACTCAAGATGCCTTTAGACTGGAAGAGACAACACAAAAGGGAAAAGGGAGGAAGAAGGGAAGGAAGCAGTTGAGCTGGTCACATCCTTATACTAGATTACAAGTAGTTTGAAAAATCTCCTATGGTATCTCACAATCTCAGTGGTACAAGCTGCCAAACACTTGAGATGAAGTCTTCTCAAGGAGTGGCACATCTTATCCATATATGTGTGTGTGTGTGTGACTACACCCAATGTTTGGCTGCACTGTTCTATTTGCAATCTATAGTTACCATCATTCCATATTTAATTGTATATAATGTACTATTATGTACGTCAAAACACTTCTAATTCCAAAAATTTTGCTCAAAGAGATACAGGTTTTGCAAATTAGTTTTGGTCAAATGAGCGTTGGCTTCAGAAGAATCTGTAAAGGGGAAAAGTTATGGAAAATCCAATTATCCTTCCAAGTGCCATGTTAACCTTCATCTGACCCAAAGGCTGCATGATTTCTTTTCTCGACTGTAGCCTCCAAAATTAAAGTTCAGCAATTTTGGAAGATGCCGTCCAAAAATGGAATTTTTCCAAGAGCTGATAAACTCCTCTGTTTAGTTCTTAACTCTGGCATTATCACCCTCTAACAAACACACTTAAGTCTTAGGATACACATTTATTATTCAAAGAGTAGTGCCTCAAAATAGAATGGTAGTAAAAATAGAAAATAGAACTGAGTTCTGCAAACGATTCATCTTGTTCCAGAGGAATGCGGCAAGGGTTAAGGTAACGGCTAGAACATGTTCCTTGCTTGGTTAAGGGAGGGGGAGGAGAGCCAGTCCTTATGACAACAAATTTTTATTAGCAGAGTTTCTTTGAAATGACTAAATAGCTCAAGGTAAAAGATTGTAAGGCTTTCATTTAGAATATAGGTATGAGGCAGCATTTTACAGGTAGATCTACTGGTCTTACCATGTGGCATTCCAGGAAATCATTCTTCCCAACTTATTTGCTTATTTATTTTAAATGTTCAGATGCCTTTCCAACATTTATGCAGCTTATTATTTACAAAATCCTTACCACAAAAATTTCTAGGCTGGTTTTCATGAAAAGGTCAGTTAAAATCATAAAGTAATGTACAATCAATCGGAGAGGACGAATCCCTATGTAAAAGAGCAGACTGAGATTTAGCGGCACTATGAGGCTAAGGTACTGACTCAAGAAGGGATATCATGGTCTTTAATCTGCAAGACCTGAGCAGGACTCTTAAAGACAGGACCTTCTGGAGATCATTAATGCCTAAGGTCACTGTAACTCGGAAATGACTTGCCGGCATATAATAGCAAGGAGACTCCAAAGCAGAGCTGACCAAATAGATGTCACACAAACATACACATCAAGTTCAAGTACATAGTATCCAAAACCAGTCCCATGTTTCTCTTTCCATCTATGGCAAAATGATGATGTGATCAATACAAAATGAAACAACTATGATATCCACTATCTGTTGCCTGAGGCACTATCTCACTCTGCCTCATGTTAGAGCCACCGCCTAGGCTTTGTTTTGACTGCAATGGGTCAGGTTAAAATCCACTCAAAATATATCCCAGAAGCCACTGACTTTATTTTGATGTGATATCTCTTGGTATGCATGCCAGGATGAATTACCAGGGCTGGCCCTATTCTTATGTAGAGTGGGCATGGCATCTATGCAGCTGCTAATAGGATAAATTCACTTTAAGCCCCAACTAAAGTAGGCTCATTAGAATCAATAGGGTTCATAAATGGTGTCTACTAAGAACCACACATTTCAATTAACATACTAAATTTGGGATTAACATGGGATTTAGCTCATGGAGTAACAAGAAAGAGCATTGTTTGGTAGCTTTTTTAACCTTCCAGGGACAGATGTCTGTATAATTGTCATCCCCAGAGTCCAAAATATCTTGGCTAGTTTCCCATACTGTATGGTTTGACTTGCAGGGAAGGAGATGCTGTGTGTTTCAGGAAACAAAGGCCAGGGCCCTGTTAAATATTTACACATGTGGAACTTCAGCTGTTAAAGCAGCCATGGCAATCAGGTGAAGTGCCAGCTCTTACATACAACTGGCACCATGTCAGAGTGCTGCAGTGCCCTCCATACTTGGGACTCACTGTAAAGATCAACCAGCTTGGTACACCATAGGCCAACCCTGTGTGCTATAGATAAGTGGTGATACCACGTTTCAAACCACCAGAGACAGATGCCAAAGGAAATCTAAGGATGTGATGAAATGAGACCTAATGAAGTGGAATGCATTATATGTTCACCCATGTAGCTATCACTTAAAACATCCTTTGGCTACCAGCCTTACGTCCCTGTCACAACTTTTGAAAGTTCCTGCTCCACAGGTGTATTGGGACCTTCAGGGTACACACTCTACTCCATATTTGTGATGGCCAGTGGAGGGCGGACAAATGTGAGGGCCCAGATTCACACGATGAGCATTTGCAAGCATTGTAGGTGACATGAACATTTTTAGAGCAGGGAGAAGACTTACATCCTGATGCCTTTATTGACTTAGTCTTGGTTTAGCTTTTACACAGAAGTCAAAATCATAACTGGTCAGTCTAAGTCACTATTAGATACTTAACAACAGAATGTGTATTTCCATGGCATTTGTATGTATGTAAAATGTATACATATTCATAGCGTATAAACCAGAGTAGTCAAGTGCGTCATGCTTTAAAATATTCAAAGCAATAAAGAACCACAACAGTGAGAAAGCAAATAGCAAGCATCTATTCATCTACAAGTATGCATTTATTCTTTTGACACACTGTGATAATATAGTTTTTACAAGGTATAAAAATTAACCAGGCCACATGGTCTTAAATTACACTGTTGTTTGTCTTTTCTCAATTTGATCTTAATATCAAAGAGTGGCCCCTTTAATCCTTGCTGAGAATCTTAAACCCATCATTGAAACTTTTGCTCCTCCCTAATGAAATCATCAGTTTTATGACTGACTGGGAGAGCCATGATAATCCACTTCCAATGACTTCAGTTTTTATTTCTTTTCCAAAAGGTTTCTGTTTCATTAATGCTCCTTTTATTTTGCAAAGAAGTTAAGACAGGTGACACTCCTTGTCCTGTTTAAGATTAGGTGCAGTGATGTGATTAGATCTGGTGATATTGACCTCCTGCTGGCTTCCCTTCTTATGCAGAGAGGGGGTGAACAACCCCATCTATGCCCAGGAGCATGTCCCTTGTTATGTAACATCAAGATAAAGGCTGGTTTTTAACTGTTTGAACCAATCTGATGGTATCTTTGTAATCTGGCACCAGCTTCTAGTGTTTGCATGCAGAACAGCAAATGATGCTACAAAATAGACAGGGAGCATTCAAGGCATGGAAAGAGGGAATAGTAATAAAACTGAAGCAGTGTTCTGAAGTTGGATCAGTTAATTTTTTTCAGACTTCAACTTCCGGAATCCTCTAGGCCAATGGTTCCCAACCTTGGGTCCCTAGATGATCTTGGACTAAAATTCCCTTCACCACTTACTGTGCTGGCCAGAATTTCTGGGAAGTATATATAATCCAAGAACATCTGAGGACCCAAGATTGGGAACCACTGCTCTAAGCATGCTGGGAACTATATATCTTCATTACCTTATATAGCCCACCTTTCGGTAAGCTCAAGATCACATACATGACTCTCCTCTTCATGCTTTATCCTGACAACACTCCTGTGGGTAGGTCAGATGTTGTGTGTATGTGACTTAACAATATTACCCAGTGAGCTTCATGACTGGGTGGAAATTTGAGTGGCTGAATGTCTTAGTCTGCTACCCTAACCACTACAATGGCTTTCTTGTGGTCTACAAAAGTAAACTCCACATACACAACACAAACACTTAATCTATTTGATGAAGTAGATTGTAATTAGTATTTAGTTAAGGTACTGTAAGACCATTAATTAACTGCTAGAGTAAGCTGCTATGCAGGACAAGATATAAATTTGTAAACAAGACCAATAACAAAAAAAGAAATTTAAATAGTTATATTCTTATATTTCTTAGCCTGGGCTTTGAATAACTAGTTACAAAATCTCTTTTTTCCTAACTGATGCTATAACTCTGTTACATGATTATTTGAACATACTAAGTAACAACGTACCTCCTTTTTTGGTGCAACTCTAATTGTTCCGTAACTTTTATATTTATAGGTATACAGCCTCACTAAATGCTGGATGAAAAATATTATCAATAGTTTCAAATATTGGCTTGTGTTGTTGGCTGGGAGCCTTGTGCTGTTTGAGGTTTTGAGGGGACTATGAAGGAGAGGAGAATGCGTACCACAGGCTAACAATGTGTAACTTTTAGACTTTTCCACTAAAAAGGAACTAATAGTTGCAATTTTAATTCCTTTTGAAAAAACTGAAAAGAATTTTTTTAAAAAAAATTGAAACTAACTATTTGGGGACTTGGCATTAGATCTGTAACATTACTTTTTAAAAGTTACTTTCTAAGTTTTCATTTGGTTTGGTTTTCAACATAATGTTTTGTGTACATGGGAGGTTACTTTAACATCTGCTGAACAGCTACACAGCTAAGATCTTGACTGTTTCTGTTCTGCAATTGCTTTACCCAAAGGAAAACAAAATTTATCCATCAGCAAAGAATGCTACATCAAAAGAAACCCATAGAGGAGATTACAGGACAGGTGACTCAACATGACTTGGAAGCAAATTCTCCAGGCTCTGTTAAATATCAAGGCCTACAGAATCTTCAGTAGTAAATACTTGATGATTGTGTAACATTACTTCCATCATTGTTTTTACTCCCTGAGGCATTTTTAACTTGTGCCCCCTCTGTTTTGCCAATTTTCCCCGCCCCTCATGATGCATACCTGAACTGTGCATGTCATATCATGATACCTCAACCAGTTTTTATTCCATTTCTGCACGTCTTTTTCCAGATGTATTTAACATTACCTTTTTTATTTCAGCAGGATCTCAGAAAAAGTCTGGAGAGGCCTGTAATCTTCTATACGGATGCTATGACTAAAATCAGTAAGGATTGAGACTTCAGAATTCTCTGCGTATACATTTGACCAGATGAATGGTATAAAAATGAAATAAGTATCTACCTACCTATGAAATTTTACAGAGAATTAGTTAATAGAGAGTTTGTAGTAAAGCGAATTGTAATAGGCAGTATCCCTGACCTCATGTAAGGGCACCAGGCTAGATTAGACTGAGGAGGACATTGTCTGGAACATTTCTCACATGCATTTCAATTATTTTGCCTTTTTTTTTTGTATTTTAAGCTATAAATAAATAAATAAATAAATATCCCATCCAACAGAGGAGAATATCCATGGCCTTTAATTGTGGTTGCTTCCAGATCACCCAGTATCTGTTCAGCACCTGTTGCTTGAAGTGTCCATCTTATGGCTGAACTCAGAGAGTTAAATTTTAAAAGGAACTTATTGGCAGCCAGGTTGCTTCCAATTGCATAAGGACTTAATTGGCTGAAATTCTGTGGCTTGCTTTTTGGAGCATCTGTCCCCAATGTCATCTGCCTTGGGGATCATCACAAGTGAAGCTCTTGTGGGTGGCCACTTTGAGGGAGGCCCATAAGTCATTTACTAGAGGCAGAGCCTTCTTCGTGGTGACTCCAGCCTTATGGAACCAGCTTCTGGAGGAGCTTTGCCTGCCCCCTTCCCCCGAGGACACTTAGGAGGTGACTGAAGACATGGCTTTTCAGGGAAGCTCTCCACACCAACCTTAGCTGACTACCTTTTGTCTGCCACTTTTCTGCCTTGTTGTTCTAGCGCCACCTGTTTTCATTGGTTTGCTGTTAAACTGGTTTTAAACTGTTCTCATTTTACTGTATTTTGGGTTTGTTCTGCTCTTATTGTAAACCACCCAGAGTAGTGCCTCGGCACTAATGGGAGCAGTATACAAATTTAAGTAATAAATAAATAAATTAGTGTAGTAAGTAGCAACCAGAGTAGGCTCATTAAATCAGTGGAGATTTGTTAAGTCAACTCCTTTGTAAATTCTATTGATTTAGTTGGACCTAATAAATACACTAAGCAACAGGATTTCAGTCATTGTTTTATTATTACCTTACATTAATATTCCAGCGCATCTGAAAAATTAGAGGGCAATGCTCTCTGGTTCTCTTTGATAAGTAATTCTATCTTGCACTTTGGAAGTATTTATAAAAATAAAACATATAAAACCAATAATTATTTGCTTGCTACTTAGCACTGATAAAAGAATGGCATAAAATCTGGAAACATGGCCAAACAGCCCAAAAAAACCTACAACAACCATTGGGGTGAAAGCCTTTGAGAATACATAGTACTGTACTCATTAGCTCAAAGTATCTATTTATATGTAAAAGTAACATTTCTTTCAACAAAAAAGAAACATTGTTTCTAGGTTCTGACCAACATATACATTACAGATAAACTGTCATTCTAGCTGAAATTGCACCAGTCTTTTAGAAACTTAATTCCTGCAGACTTGAATATCTGAGAAATCAGATATGCAAAAAAGCCTGTGTTTAGTTCACAAAGACCAAGCACAAAACAAAGCAAATTAATTTCCAAACTAAGGGAAGGATGAAAAGTTCCTGCTGTGACAATCAGATGTTTTTAGCATTTAAGCAATCTCTTTCTTCTAATGACAGGCTATGTTTAAGGTATAATTTAGCCCTCATTCTGATGAATAGTATGGTTGCTGCTGGGCTAAAGCCAAAAGAAATGGCATCAAAGAGAAGGGGGCCAAAGTGCATACTGTACTTATGCCTACTTCCCATTTTAGAGGCGATCCGTACGGCTAATGAAAACTGTAGTGGTTTCTAGACATCGCTCACATACCAGACTGTATAACTGCATCTAAAGTTCATGGCTCCAATAACAGAAACACTGAAATACTATAGTTCATATGAATCAAGGATAACTGATTGCCCAACCCTGAACTAAATATCTTTCCAAGGTATTACTATGCAAATTGCAGAAGACTCATTTTGTTCAAGCCCACATACTTCATGCGGAGTAGCCACAAGCACACACAGACATGTCTTATCTCATTTCAAACAGCAGCAATAGCTCAAATATAAACTAGCTGAGAATTATTCGTCTAAATGCCACCCAAGCAACCATGATTGTTTCACTAATAACTCAGCTATGCACACAGAAATCAGTAAATAAACCGCCACTTACTTGAGAATAAGCTCCACTGAACTCAATTGGCCATACTTCCAAATACATATGTAAATAAATGAACTGTACAATACTTTATTATCTATTACCACTCCATCATAAGCAAATAGCATAGCTATCAGTCAAAAGGCTACTGACATCTAAGTTAAGGTGAATCCCACTTTATTCACAGGGACTTACATCCCATTCAATGGGCGTAGAATTGCAGTCATTGGCTTTTCAGAACTCAGGTTGTCCAGTGATGCGGAATGGCAGTAGGCAAGGCTACTAGACAGACAGACAGACAGACAGACACACAGACAGACAGACAGACAGACAGACAGACAGACAGACATTTCTTCACACAGCACAGAATTTAATGCGTTACAGCAAAATATAATAATGGGTGTCACCATGTAAGACTTTAAAGGGATACTACTGGGCAAATTCATGGAGAAGTTACCAGTGACTACTATTCATCATGGCTATATGTTACCTCCTCCAGAATCAGAGGTAGTATATTTTTGAGTATCAGACCGGTATTATCAGTAATCCTCCGGATTAAGTTCTCAAGTCAAGACCCCACTGTATATTTTTGAGTATCAGACTGGTATTATCAGTAATCCTGCCCATCATCTTAGAACTGTAGAGCTGGAAGAGACCCTATGGATCCTGCACTGAGCCCAGTCCCTCTCAAGGAAGCACAGTGGGGAATCAAACTCCTGACCACTGGTTCCACACCCAGATACCTAAACCACTGAGCTGTCCAGCAGTTGCTGGAGAACCTGATGGGAGAGCCCCATTAGGCTCATGTCTTGCCTGTGGGCTTCCCAATGGCTTCATATACTTTACCACAGAACCCATGACAACAGCCATGTATCAGCTGTATTTGCTCAGCTGTATCATCTCCAAATTATAAATGGGGAGCTGGGGCATTGTGAGTTAATGGCTGTGTTTAAAATAATTTGCAACTAATGTCTGTTTTTTCTTTGTGGCGTTTTATTTCAGATTACACAACACCTGAACCAAGACAGTTGAAGAAACAAGCCAACAAGACAAGGAGAGTGTTTACATAGCTGGAAGTAGTTTCTCCTTGTTTGTCCTTGTTCTGAGGTGGATTTGGGCCTGTATGCTTTGGTGGATCAAGAAAGTTGTTTGAGTTTCATATTGGAGGGCATATTTACAGTCCTGGAATATCTCTGTTGTGACTTCCTAAATCTTATTGACTAGTTGACCTTCAAATAAACGAACACTTGCTGCTTGTCACAATCTATATTTTCAGACATAGTCATAATAAGAAGTTTCTACGGTCATGTTCTTGTCAGCTGTTGATATATCGCAGAGTGATAGCCAAACATCATTAGTAGTTTAACCTAAAGGCCAAAGCCTCCTTTAACTCCACACACTTCTGAGGTTAAAAAATTGTATTTGAATTCTTGATTAGCTTACCATGATTGTTGTATAGGCTTATCTTCCTGATTAGCCCTCTTCAGTAAAGCTGAAGTGGGAATACCTCAGGCATTTACATTTTCCATGCATTGTTCTTCTAATAGTGTAAAGAGTTGAACTGAAGTTTTCCTTGACTTATGGCTCAGTTTGTTTATCAATATAATGTGGGATTTGTTGCCGCTGTCTGAAGAAGCTGCCTTATCATCACCCGTAAAACAATTCATGTATCTTCTATTCTCTTATTCCTTGTTTCAAGCTCTCATCCATCATGATAGTTGCCAAACTGATAGTCTTTACAAACAACAGTTCCATTAGGGCAGGACTACAGGGTCTCTTAACTTGGAAACTTTACCAGTGACTGCCCTCAACAGCAGCAGAGGATGGGAAAGCAGCATGGGAGGGGGGAGAGATGTGCCATCGACACAAAGAACCGGAAGCCATAAATTGGGACTGGCACCAGCCATCCTGCAGCTAATCTGCTGCTCCCTGTTTTTCTATTGTAAGCCCAAATAAAAAGGGCCTATGTGCCCCATCAAGGTAATGGAGGGATCCACATGAAGCTCAGGTTGATTTTTATCTACAGTAAGAGGAGAGAATGGAAGCCAATGCCTTGACATCTTGTTTTGTACTGGATCTGCAATCTTTGGATTTCCCAGCAGTCTGCTTTCAAGTACAATGGCTTCTGCATCTAGCCAGATATTTTGAACGTTTTGCTTCTTCCCTAGACCATCAACATTTGTGATATCTGTACATGACAAAGAATTTTGGAGGAATCAAAAGTTTCCTTTCTTTGTAACTTTTTAGTCGTGTGATAAGGGTACTAACCCAACCGAGACTTTTTGTTTTGTTCCGGATGACATGGGTAATTTTTTTAAAAGAAATTTTCAAAAAGGAGGATTCACTGCACAGTAAAGTGCTTGCTGAGATTCCAGCTGTGCTTGTTACCTTTGTTCGCTTACACTGCCTCTGGGCTGCAAAAAAGGAGACCACTTCCTCTTACCTCTTTCGGAGGAGCTGGCCAGGGAGAGCAGAGTGACCAGAGTGGTGAAGGAAAGGACAGAACACAGCAGAACAGCCAAGGTGATACACAGAAGAGGAAGGAAAAAGACCAGAACAGTAGAGCCCTCCAAGGGGTAACTTGGCCAAGACCAGAGCTTGGAAAATTGACTTTTTGGACAACCACCCCTCAAAATTCCCCACTGGCATGGCCATTTCTTTAAAAAGTAACATTTCAAACTTTAGAGGGCTACTATCTATTCTTACCATGTAAGCTCGTGTTGGAGCTTCCTGCCAATGGCTGACAACAGATTGTCATCTTTAATGGCTGGAACACCCTATATATAACATCTGTTGTCTAAATAGAGCTGTTTATATATAAGAAACTCACTCACAGTCTCAGTCTACTGCCACATAAAACCCTTGGGATGACCATGGAGGCAGCCCTATCAGTGGGACTGGGAATGAACTGTCAGAGAAAAGTGTTATAAGACTGCTATAAGAACAACAATAACATTTAGGAATTCTATAAATGAAAATTGTCACTAGCGTGTCTCTCTTTTTCATTTGCTACCCTTCTTCTTCTACCTTCTTCTTATCCAAGCATTGACAGCCTCCAGATGTTTTAGAGTAAACTCCCCCAAAGCCCCAGCCAGCATTAGTGGGTCTGTGATGATAGACACTGTAGCCCAAAACAGTTGTTGCCTCCCCATCTGCGTAGCCCTACTGCAATTGACATGTTGTACTGCTCAGTCTATAGACAGGACAGCTGTTTTGTTTAAATAACAAAAACCAGGGGGATGATAATGGGCCCCTCTCTGCCCCCAGTAGCACTGATTAAAGATGAAAAAATAACTCTGTTAGCATCAGTAAATAGCATAGGTTTCATGTAAACATATCTGGTATGTTTTCCCCTGTGTTTCCAGCTGCTTTACTGACAACAGATGAGCTGCAGAATGAGAAGGATGCCAGCAAAACATGGCATGGATTTTCCACTACTCCACAACAGCACCTTTGGGTTTTTTCCTTCATCAGCAAGTGCAATGGCCTTGCTGCTCATCACTGGAATTATCTACCATGCTGGGACATCAGTCTTTTAAAATGGGTTTATTTGGACTCACTCCAATGAGAACTGCTTTCTCCTGTAGGAGCCTGCCCACTTATTAGGTTTGTCAAATCCTCTTGCAAGTCCCAACAAACCCTAAAGTTAGGGTGGATGCTTGTTCATTACTAAGAAGAAAAGGCAATGCCTCACAAAACAGAGACTGAGGCACGATGCAGATTTGCATAAAATGTATGTGTTAATTTATCTATGTAGATGGAAATTGCTAAATAAGTAATTTAACTTAAATGGAAATGTTAGTGAAAATCTGAACATCTCCTCATAGTAATGAAAAATGTGGCCAAGGGTGCTCCTGTGTCTGCTAAGTCTCCTGTCCAGGTACTTCCACCAGATGGGCAATGCCAAGTCTCCTGCATCCTCATCTTAGGGTCTTTGTCTCTTACCCAGACTTAGATTACATAAGCTTTAAGACAAAGGAGACCATCAGTGGAGAATTGTACTCTGTAAAGTAATGCACATGGCCAACCTACCTGAAGTACATCAGCTTGGGGCCAAAGGATGGGCTCACCACAGCACAATTGGATGGAGTCAAATTGTAGTCGAGTAAAACACTAAAGTCTTGGAGAACCTTTTCTCTGAAGGTTGTTGTAGATTTTTCATGCTATTTGGCTGTGTTATGGAGGTTTTTCTTCCTAATGTTTTCCCAGTCTCTCTGGCCAGCATCTTCAGAGGACAGGAACTCTCTCTGTGTTCTGGTGTAGTGTGTGGGATAGTTGATTATTTGTAGCTGCGGGGTCAGCTTTTTGTCCTTTTCAGGAGATCGGGTGATTATGGTGATCAGGGTGGTTTTTGTTATGGGTGTATTGTTGTGATAAGGGGGAGATGATCTGTCACTGTGATTGATCAGTGCTGTTAGCTAGTCTTTTGTGTGCAGTGGTCACTGGTCCTTGTGGCTGGGTAGTGTTTTTGCATGCTGTATTTTTCTGTGCTGGGAGCCAGGAAAGAAAGTCTTTTAAAAAACTAAGAGCCCATCCCTACATTTCCTTGACTGAAAAAGAAAAAAATACTGTAGTTAAACCAACTTCCTTGTGCATGATCTTCCAAGAACATTAGGAAACCATGAATAAAGTTGATCCAAGTTGCCATTTGTGACAAATGCCTTATTTCACTCCTGTCATAGCAGAACCTCATGTGCACAGGCCTAGGAGAGGACTGGACGGGCGGGATCAGTTAAACAGATAGTTAGACAGAGTTTGAGAAAGAGAAGGTGAAAGAGAGAATGAGAGTGTGGAGGAGAGAAATTGAATAATCAGGATAGATAGTCAGAGAACTAGAGATATCAGATATTAATAAGTTGGTTAAAGTGAATAAATCAATAAAACATGAAGAAGGGAACGTGGAACCAAGTATAAGAAGTTTTAATGAGTGATTCTATATAATGATTAAAAAGAACATCTGTGATTAAAATTCAGTCTAAATAAACAAGTTATGTTGGCAGCAAGTGTCTGATTCAAGTTTTGTGCAAGTGTGGATAAGGGATATCCACTGGTGGCAGCGAATGAAAGAGAAAACATCAACAGGGAACACTGGGTGGATTGTCACACCATTTTAAATTTTATTTTGTTTTTTAGCTGAATAAAAAAATGCTGAGTGCCACTGAAAATATTCCATAAAAGAGCAACTGTGTACTAGTCAATCTGCTGTCTTGCCTTTATTTTAACCATTGTAAATCCTCTTTCTCTTTTCCCTTCTTTTACTTTCACAGATATAAATCTATCTATTTGTATACTACAAGCAAACAGACAAAATACACAGTGAGAAACAATGTTCTGTCCAATGCTTTGCCAACCAATAAGGGTTACAATCCTTAAACATGTGGTAAATAATGACACTAAGTGAACAGTTGTGTTTCACATTCTGGCTTAATATGTACAGAGTCTCAGCCCTATGGGCTGAACGGGACTGAGTGACTTCAAACATCCTCTCTCAAATCTGAGCCAATCTCCTGAAGCAAATGTCTTTGTTTGCATTCCCCTCTCACTTTCTTTCATTTCACAATAACTGCCCTTAAAGATGAATTGAGCAAGGTGTGGTTTAGAGACAGCAATCTGCCAAGGTGCAATGGCAGAGTCAACAGAATGCTGGGGTTCAAGTCTAGACACTGCAGAGGCACAGGATGCCCTGAGAAGAACAAGGAAACGGGGCATTCACAGTGTCCTCATAGGCTCTGGTTTTCTGGGAAAGATGGTGTAACTGTGCAGACCTTGGAAACGTTACTTTTTTAAAAGAGGGTGTAATGTAAGAAGTGCAATTAAGTGGGAAGCAAAAATTAAGACAGAGGTTTCCTTGCAGCATGCCAAACTCACTCTCTCTCTCACTCTCTGGGGGGGGGGGGAGAAGGAGCCTCGGGGGCTGAAACTGTCTACAGACATTGACTAGGCTTGTGAAGGAGGGAGACACACAAACACAAGGGATGAAGAAGGAGAGGGAGCAGGAAAGAAGCATATGGCAACGTGTGTGTGTGTTTTGGCGGGGGAGAAGGCGGCAGTGGGCCTGCGAGCATGACACGCCCACCTGTGAGCATGGGGGTGCCCCCCATCGGTCCGCACACAAAGCCAGTACCCCCCAAATGGTCCATGGTCCCAAAAACGTTGGGGACCACTAATCTAAACCAAATCCCTTATGAATATACAGTGGAAGTGAAGAACAGATTTAAGGAACTCGATTTGGTGGACAGGGTGCCTGAAGAACTATGGATGGAGGCACGTAACATTCTACAGGAGACAGTAGCAAAAACCATCCCAAAGAAAAGGAAATGCAAGAAAGCAAAGTGGCTGTCCAACAAGGCCTTACAAATAGCAGAGAAGAGAAGGGAAACAAAATGCAGGGGAGATAGGGAAAGTTACAGAAAATGGAATGCAGACTTCCAAAGAATAGCAAGGAGAGACAAGAGGGCCTTCTTACATGAACAGCGCAAAGAACTAGAGGTCAAAAATAGAGATCAGTCTACATCCCAATCCCAAAGAAGGGCAGTGCCAAAGAATGCTCCAACTACCGTACAATTGCACACATTTCACACGCTAGTAAGGTTATGCTCAAGATCCTACAACGTAGGCTTCAACAGTATGTGGACTGAGAACTCCCAGCCTTTGACTATCGACCACAACAAACTATAGCAAGTTCTTAAAGAAATGGGAGTGCCTGACCACCTTATCTTCAAAGAAATCTATATGTAGGACAGGAAGCAACAGAACTGAATATGGAACAACTGATTGGTTCAAAATTGGGAAAGGGGTACGAAAAGGCTGGATATTGTCTCCCTGCTTATTTAACTTAGATGCAGAATACATCATGCAAAAGGCAGGACTGGATGAATCCCAAGCCGGAATTAAGATTGCCGGAAGAAATATGAACAACCTCCAATATGCAGATGATACCACTCTGATGGCAGAAAGTGAGGAGGAATTAAAGAACCTCGTAATGAGGGTGAACGAGGAGAGCACAAAAAACGGCCTGAGGAAGAAATATCAACAACCTGAGATATGCAGATGATACCGCTCTGATGGCAGAAAGTGAGGAGGAATTAAAGAACCTCTTAATGATGGTGAAAGAGGAGAGCACCAAAAATGGTCTGAAGCTCAACATAAAAAAAACCTCAGATCATGGCCACTGGCCCCATCACCTCCTGGCAAATCGAAGGGGAAGATATGGAGGCAGTGACACATTTTACTTTCTTGGGCTCCATGATCACTGCAGATGGTGAAAGCAGCCACATCTTTCTTAGGAGGAAAGCAATGACAAACCGAGGCAGCATCTTAAAAAACAGAAAACAGGCTCTTGAGAGTCCCCTAGACTGCAAGGAGAACAAACTTATCCATTCTGAAGGAAATCAACCCTGAGTGCTCCCTGGAAGGACAGATCCTGAAGTTATGGCTACGATACTTTGGCCATCTCATGAGAAGAGAAGACTCCCTGGAAAAGACCCTGATGTTGGGAAAGTGTGAAGGCAAGAAGAGAACAGGACAACAGAGGATTAGATGGTTGCACAGTGTCACTGAAGCTACCAACATGAATTTGACCCAACTCCGGGAGGCAGTGGAAGACAGGAGGGCCTGGTGTGCTCTGGTCCATGGGGTCACAAAGAGTCAGACAAAAGGACTAAACAACATGCCTCTCAAAGCAACCTTATTTCACCCTTATTCCCTTAAAAGGGCGGGGATAACAAAAAAGATCCCCTTCTTGTTCCCTTCTGTCTCCACATGGACAAGGTAACAGGAGTGGGAGAAACATGAACCGTATTATTCCCCAAACCAGGCCAAACTGTGGGACAAATCCCCGTCAGGTTGCACCCTTTGGTCTGCTCTGCCAAGCAAGATAACAGGATAACAACCAGGAAACAAAAGCTTGATGTTTTCCTTTTAAAATGAGCAAACTGCAGTCTCACTTCTTCCTCTTCCTCCAGTACAGTATTCCAGTTTTTCTCCACTGTGATAGGTCTGTATCAAAATTTGCACCTCCCTTTCCTCTGGGCTAAAGATGGGTGCATTGTGAATTAGTTATGTCTGAGAAATTTATTATATTGGGAAAGAGTCCCAGGGCATCAAATACTGTATACATATTTATCCTCCCACTCCCTTTCATTCTTCCCATGTTTCTCTCTGGATTTCTCTGGTTTCCACCTCTCCCTTTTGTGGCTTCTTCTCGGCACTATATAATAAGTGAGTCACGCTTTTTTCTCCTTATTTTCTAAGGCATCTGGGCATTATTATTAAAACCATCCGAAGGAATTTTTATTGTGCCAGCTTGATACAGGGAAGAATGATGCAAAGGTACTGGTCATCCTCATTTATTTGTTAAACATGTACCCTGCCTTTCCACTATAAAAAGTCCATTTCCAAGAAGGCCCACCTATGAATATGGTTCACCATGCCCCAGAGAGATAGTAGCTCAGTTTCCAATCTCCACTATGTTCAGTGGTCATTTCTCTCTCTCTCACCAGTTCAATCAGTAGGCTATGTGTGTGACTCAGTATTTCCAAAATGAAGGTTGCCGTCCCTGCATAGCTTACTCTATGTACTAGGGTGGCATATCCAATGTCACCTGTGATATTTTGCTACCTGAGATGAAAGACAAGATGCCCTTCTCCAATCAACATACTAGAGCTGATTGAAGTGCTAGTTGTCTTTCTTCAACACTGAGGATAAAACAGACTCCTCTAGGCACATCCAAAGGCTTAAGACAGGGGTCAGGGAATTTTTTTACCTTTTACCCCCTTGGCTCTTGCCGTCCGCGGCCGACCCCCGCCCCTCCTGTGCTGGCCCAGGACCTGTGGCTACCGTCCAGGCAGCCAATCTGGAGCTGTCACACCGCTGGGAAAGCATGTCCTTGGAGAGGGGAGGTGGGCACCACAGGGCCAGCAGGTCCACTGGCCATGAGCTCAGGTGAGGCTGGGAAGGCTGGGAAGGGGGCCTCCTCGCCGGCCCACCGGGCAGGTGGGCGCAGGCAGGAAGGAGAGCAATGGCCAGGGCTCCGCCGGGCAAAGAGTCCGGCTGGCCTGGTGTGCCACTCTCCCCCTCCCACTTTGGAGGCGAGGAGGACAGGCGAGTGCCCTGTGCAGTTCCTCGCCAGGGCTTGCTCTCCCCGTGACGGAACGCCCACCTACACACAGAATTGTCGGAAATAAAATGCCTGGGCGTAAAATGCCTGCCGCGAGTGTCCTCATTACCCCCAGGATTTTCATTTTTACCCCATTTGGGGTAATTTACCCCTGTTCCCTGACCACTGGCTTAAGAGGTGCATAGCAGGCTACAATGGGTGCACCATCTTGATCTCCAACATGGCACTGCTGCTCTTCACCCACAAGTCACCTCCCTGGATGCAGACACTGGCTCCCTCCTGGGATGGGTGGCATTTGGGCATCATCACCATGGAAGCTCTATGGGCACTGAGGTTAGAGTTGCTCCTTTTGTGCTTCTCAGGAGGGGCAGGGGGTTGCAGGAGTTCTGCATCCTTCTCACCTTGTGTTTGACCAGTATACAATATATTATATACAATTTATACCTTCCATAGTGCTGGCACAGTAGTAGCACCTCCCCACCTCTGCTCCCAATATAATTGCCATTTATAAGGTTGCTCTGCCTAGATGCAATCCTGCAGTCACTTAGCTCTGAGTAAACTGCAGTCAATGGAACTTCTGTCCTCAGTAGACACATAGAGTATCACATGCAGGCAACTGTGGCATAAGTGTTAACATGCAGGACCAGTAGAAGCAAAGTGTGCCCCAATTCTGTTTTTAGAGGCACATCAGTTTCCCATCCCATCACAATAGTCTACAACCACCCCCAAAATAAGGTGAAGTGGTCCATACTGAAAGTCTTCAAGACCAGCAGTTCCACTTTATTTTCTTTATTTCTTTCTTTCTTTATTTATTTACTTACTTACTTACTTATTTATTTGGTTATTTAGTTATTTAGTTATTTATTCAGTTTTTACCCTGCCCCTCTAGACAACGTCTACTTGGGCAGCTTACATAGGTTAAAACACAATGAGATAACATATATAATAATTTATTTATTTATTATTTAATTTATATCCCACGTATCTAGCCAACTTAGGACCACTCTAGGCGGCTATTACACACATCTTAACCTGATATGAACTGCTTTAAAAAACTGGAAATAGAATTCTAGTATCATTTCTTACCCATTTATTCTCCTCATTTGGTGGACCATATAGCTGCCAGAAGAATCCTGGGGTAGAAAACTGACCCTCAGGCCTGTCCACCCCAGACTAGAATCTACCTCAGAAGCGGGCAAATTGCAGCCCTCCAGATATTATTGGACTGAAACTCCCATTAGGCAGTGGTAATGAATTCTGGGAACTGGAGCCCAGCAACATTTGGAGGACAAGACATTGCCCACCCTTTGTCAATTTCATTAAAGACTAGTCCATGAAGTGGCTTCGTGTCCACAAAAGCATAGGGCACAACAGGTCCGCCATTTTTAAGTCATTCCAACAAGCTTCATTAGTTTTACCATACTGACTAACACAATGATCTCTCTAGAAATGAAATAACTCTGTCATCCCAAAATTAGCTTTGAGTTCCTTCAAAGTTCTGTGGGAAGTGAAATTCAGAGTGAACTTGGAAATTCTTTTTCAGAGCAATATGAAAGAATGTTGATGCACCAAGAACATGATACGCATAGAGAATGAAGCACTCCATTGAGGTTACACATCAAGTCCTGCATTCTTCTCTTCTTCTAAAATGTACTTTAGATGAAACTGATCAGCATGAAAGCAGAATTGTAAGTCTGCAAGTGAACCACCGCAACAAAATATGGTTTTCTACTTCATATTTACTCCCACTCTAATCCCCCTTCCCCCATGTGGGGATTTGCAGATGGATACTCCTGTGCCTAATGTAGCTACAAGGAAAACCTTTGATTTTTCCCCCATTGGTTCCTGTGGAGAACATTCATATTTATACCTCTCCCTTCAGTCTTTGGATACATTTTAAAAGTATTTCTCCATATGAACCAGGATGTTGCCTATCCAGACAATGAAATGATCCTGTCTAATATTTTTACCATTATGTGTTTCTTCCTGTCTTCTTTGTCCAGCCAATCTCCTCCTCCATCTTAGTTTTACTCTATTGTTGCCAGTTACTGTCAGCTGAGCTCTCTTTTAAATTGCTTGAAGAGTAATTTTTAACACAGGATCTTTGTCTATTTGCAGAGGGATGTGTTTCATAAAAGGGGGAGTAGTAAGAGGAGTCAAGAAGCAGCCATCAGAATTGTACAGATCTGGGGAAGATATGGATAAGTTTCAATTCTTGCAGCCTGATGATGTGGACAGGACCCTTGGAGAAGTGAAGGCTACTACAGTACATGACTGTTGGACCTTGCCCTTCCTGGCTTAAGAAAATTGCCAGAGAACAACTGGCCAAGCAGGTAGGAGGAACTGTGAATGCCTCCTTGTAGCAGGATAGGCTCCCAGCATGCTTAAAAGAAGAAGTAAGACTATTATTAAAAAGACCTCCTTGGATCCTTTGATATTTCAAATATTCCATTCTTGGGCAAGGTACTGAAATGAGTTGTGACTTCTCGGTTCTAGGGGCTCCTGGATAAAATGGATTATCTAGATCCATTTCAGTCTGGCTTCAGTCCTGATTATGACCTGCACCAGGAATGGGACAGGAAGAGTGTTTACCTGTTGGTTCTCCTGAGAGATAGAGAGAGATTCAGTTATGAGCTCTTCAAGCTGCAGTTATTCTTCAAGATTTCCGATCTGGCCGTGATGATACATGCCTTAGTTACATCCTGGTTGGAGTACTGTAACAAGCGTTACGTGGGACTGACTTTGGAAAGTGCTAAGAAATTTCAACGGGTCCAAAATGCTGCAGCCAGATTGTTAACTAGAGCTGGTTACAGGGATCATCACACACACACACACACACACACACAAACACACACACACACAGGGCACAATTCAAAGTGCTGGTTTTAACCTTTAAGGTCCTGAACAGCTTGGGTCCAAGTTATCTCCAAGACTGCATCTCCCTTCTCTCTTTATGAGCTTGCCCAGGTTTAAAAATAATTACGGAAGGCCTTTCTCTCAGTTCTGCAGGTATATTTGGTGAGGACATGGGAGACAGCCTTTTCTATCACAGCTCCCAAACTCTGAAGCTCCCTCCCATGGGAGACCTGGCTGGCTCTGTCTTTGTTGTCCTTCCACTTGCAGATAAAGACCTTTCTCTCCAGGCAGGCTTTACCTTTAGTGATTGGTTGTATGAGAAGGTTTTTAAAAAATGGGATTGTTTGTGACTTGCTGTTTTTAAATGTGTTTTTAGTACTGTTTTTAATCTACTATTTTAATATATTTGTTCAATTCTTTCTTAATATTGAATAATTCAATTATTTTAGCTTTTAATATTGTTTCTTTTTAGTATTATAAGCCATCTTTTGTCTAGTTTAGGAGAAAGTTGGGAAATAAATAAA